CACTTGAGACCGGGGAGTTTATAAAGAACGGAGATTGATCCAGTGCACAGCTCTGGAGGCCGGGGGTCCACGCACCTGGCACCAGCACCTGCTGGGCACCTGGCGAGGCCTCGCACTGGTGGAGGCAGGGCCGGCTGCCATCTCGGGTCTCTCCGATGTCCTCATGGCCCCTCGCTGCTGGCCGCAGCATGCGGACCCTCAGAACACATCCAAGCCCCGGCAGGAGGGTTCTCACCTGTCGCACCTGTGATTCTTCCTCCGTGCCTTGGGTTTTGGGGGGCAGGGTACCCAGATTGCCGGCAAGGGTCATCTCCAGCAGAGGGCGATGGCGGCCTGCTCCCTCTGTGCTGCTGCCCTAGGCCCTGGCACCTTGGGCCTGGGCACTCTGTGCGCCTCTTCTCAGGCCCGAGTTCTCCCTCACCTCAGCCATCCAAGGTTCTTCCTCGGGGTGCTCTGGAACCGACCGTCCCCACCACCCTGCACCCCAGCCCCAGCCACTCCCACCCGGATGCCCACCCCAGCCACAGCAGCTCGGTACCCTGTCCCTGCTCCCTCCCCTGCCCATGAGGCCACTTAGCCACCAAGTGAACGTCCTGCGGCTGGGAGAGTGGGCCTGTGGCTGCCAGCCTGGAGGTGACCCACGGCTTCCTTCACACTTGAAGTCCACACGGCGCCGTGCCGTACCTTGCAGGGCCTCCAGGCCTCGCCAGCTCTCCACAGCCTGCTGCCTCTCTTCCTGCCGCCTCTGCCCGCCCCGCCCCTCCACGTCTCGGCCTCTCCCCACATCCCTGACCCCGAGCCTCTGCCCCGGGGGTGGCAGGCTCCCGTGAGCCTCACCCCTCAGAGCCGCGGTCCCTGCCCTCCCCGTTCATACTGTGTGCCCTGCTTGGGTCTCTTTGTTGCATGTACTCTGATCCCACATTTAAATGCATTGCTTAGCCATTGCGTTGCTGTCGTGCCATGTTGCTTTTCAAACACTGTTGGCATTATCTCTTTATAGATGGGTGTGTGCCCTGCCCCGTTAGGGGGGCAGTGTCCTTGTCTGTGAGGGTCACTCGCATCCCAGTGCCCAGGCAGCGCCTAACATACAGTAGGTCCTCCCATGTGGTGGAGACCACCAGACCTTTCTTTGGCCCTCGACAGGCCTGCAGGGATGGCCCAGCCGGGACACGCGTCCATCCTCAGGGGCCAGGGCACTGACTCGGGGTCATCCAGACTCCCTGGCTGTGGAGGGCCGCTGTCCCTTCCTGCTGTCATTGGGAATGTCCCCCAGGAGATGGTTTGGGAGTAGAGCGGCTTTCCGCTTCCGCGATGCCCACTGCTGTCCATGTTTCAGGCCACATAGCCCCTCCCGGGTGGAAGCTGACCCCAGTGGCCCTGGTGGCCCTGGCGGCCCTGGTGGCCCTGGTGCCATGCTGGGTCCCATGGGGCTTCAGAGAGGAACGTGGGCCTGGTTGAACTGGCTTGAGGACTTGAAATAACTGAAGGTGTCGCCATCAGCACCGAGGAATTGCACGGAATCGCGGGGCTGCGCGGAAGCAACCTGGGTGCTGGGGGTGGGACCTGTCCCAGCTCACGTTCCTGGGCCCTGGGGGTCTTAGAGCTTGTGCCCCTCTCCAGTCCAGCCTCTTCTGGCTCCGGAAGGGAAACTGAGGCCCAGAGCAGTCGTGATTTCATCTGGAGGAATCAGAGCTGGAGCCCAAGCGCACAGAGGGGCACTGGGTCTTGCCCCCGGGCCCTGGAGGAACGGAAAGCCCTGTGGTTTGCAGACCCCATGGCTTGTTATTCATCAGCACATTTTCTCCCAGAAAGAATCCACTTCCGGAGCCCCAGCCGGGGTCCACCAGGGAGGGAAGTGCGTGAGGCCAGCGCGTTCTCTCAGGCCAGAGCCCAGGCGGGGCGAGGCTCCTATTTTCCCTCCTCCGCTCTGGTCACAGACCCTGGGGCCTGGGGCGGCCTTGCTGGCCGGGAGACACCGGCTCTGGAAGGACCAGAGGCCTGTACTTGGGGTCCTTCACTCTCAGCGTGCAGATGTCACTTCATGGGGGAAGATCCCAGAGTGCTTCAGAGAAAAGGGAGGGTCTTTCCTAATGGTGATGACCTGCTTCCCCCACCCGAGCCTGGGCCTGATAGATTCTCTCTTCTGCCTCCTTGTTTTGGTGGTGCCGGGGACTGAGCCTTTGCACTGAGCTATGTATCCAGCCCTTTTAAAAAAACATTTTATTTGCACGCAAGTTTCACTAAGTCACTAGGTTGCCCAGGCTGGGCTCACCCTCCTCCTGCGTCAGCCTCACAGAGCGCGGGGAGTGCAGGCCTTTGTCACCATGCCCAGCTCCAGTTTTTTTTTTTTTTTCCAGTACCGGGAATCAAACTCATGACCTCGCGCTTGCCAGGCAGGTGCTGTGCTGCTGAGCTAAATCCCCAGCCCCCCAGCTCCCCAGCTCCAATTTTGATGGATCCCAAAGAGGCCTTTATGGGGATCTGCAGGGTGGTGTCCATGGTCACTCGCTCTCAGGCTCTTCCAGGCCAGTCTGCACATAAGTGGGGTGGGACGCAGCTCCAGGACCCTCTCTGAGGCTGCCTCAGGTGGGCAGGATTTCCCACGTTGTTGCCATCATGGGAAGCCCAGGTGCTGGGACCCAGGAGCAGGTTGGTGGCACCCACTAGCAGGAGCACTGCAGGTGTTCAGCAGCTTCCTCTGCCCGGTGGAGGGATTTCACCCGACACAGTCACCTTATGTGTCGCTGGAAAGGCACCTTGGTGATGCTTACTCGTGGGGATGCTGAGGACCAGAGCTGTTACGTAACTTTCCAGAGACCACACAGCCAGTGAGTGGCAGAGGGGGACTCAAAGTTTCTCTCTGCGAGCCCTGCATTCGTTGACACTTCCTGTCTGTTCTAATGTCAGGCCTCCGCCCGGATCACAGCAGGCACAGGCTTCAGAGTGGCAGGGCAGGAGGGCTTCCTTCCCGGAGGCTGAGGAAGCTGAGCCCCTCCTGACTAGGAAGGCCCGGGGAGGCATGCCATTGCAGGCCGTGGTGCCAGGTGCGTGATGCGCGGCCCCGGCTGGTTGTGGATTTGGACAGTTCTCCATGTCCCAGGGGCTCTGGGAGAGCGGGAGCCAGGGACTTGGGTCGGGGGCAGGCAGGGTTGCAGTGGGGGTGGGAGGCCTCCTACGGCCTCTCGGTTAGGGGAGAGCAGGTTCTTCCCCAGCCAGGGCTGGACTCTGGCTCTTCCGGTAACTGAGTGCCCCATCCTGTCCCAGAACTCCAGAACTCCACCATGCGGCCCAGGTAGAGGATGGCCTCTCTGGGCCGGACTTGGGCCCTGTCCCACGCTGAGCTTCAGTGGTGGTGGGATGGGGCGGGCACTGCGTGGGCACTGGAGGGGAGAGGGGTAGGGAGGAGGTGGAGGTGTGCCCGCCCACCGTGCAGGGACCGTTCGGGGTCCTGCCTGTGACCTCTGGCCATGGGGGCGGAGGGACAGGTTGGCGTGCTGGTGGAGAGGGAATGGGCAGGTGCCCCTCCCCTCTGCTTCAAGGGGTCCCTGGGGGGAGCGGGTCCCCAACACACCCAGGCCCCGTGCAGCTGTCAGTGAGGTCCTAGGACGCACCCGTCTGGCCGTGGCCTCGGCTCCTGAGGGGGTTGGGGGTGTCAGGCAGAGGGCGATGTCTCAGAAGACCCAGCATTCATTGCACCCTTGCCACTTTCAGTCCCTGTGCCAGCCCGGAGACTAGAACTCACCAGGGACCATAGTGGCAAAATCCCCACCCTCCTGGAGCTTAAGCCCCCCAGGGCGGGCAGGGCGCAGAGGAGAAAAAGTAGCATCAGCCTTGTGTAGAGGTGGCCAGGACCTCTGGCTAGCACGGCATGGCAGGTGGGAGGGAGGGCAGGAGGGGCCAGAGGCCACCTCTCTGAGGTGCCAGTCGGGACAAGTTGTACAAGGAAGGCTGCGAGGTTCAGGTCAGGCAGAGAGTACCTGAGCAAAGGTCCTGGGGTTGGGGGAGAGGAGAGGACACGGAGAGGCCCGGGCAGATAAGGCCACCTGCATCCAGCAGAGTGAGGGCGGCCTGTGGGTTCTGACCTGAGCGTGAGCTTGTGGGTGTGTGGGGTCACGTTTGACCAGAGGCCTGGGAGAAGAGGGAATCGGTCTGGGGAGACCCCACCTTCACTGCCGTGTGTGGCAGCTTCGGCGGGGAATGCATGGGTTCAGGACCACGAGTCAGAATTCTATATCAGCTCTGTGCAGAGGGGTCATCAGGACAGGGCACCCTCCCCATCCTGGCCTCTGTCAGGGCTGCCCTGCGTGTCTGGTGATGTCTCTAGGAAGCGGCAGACTGGGCAGACTGTGACATGTCACACACTCTTGTCAGCAGTTGTCCCCAGGAGCAGCTGGGCCGCAGCACGTTGTGCCCCAGGGCATCAGGTCGGTGGGGACAGAGCGCCTGCATCGCTGTGAGCTGTGGCTCTGATTCTCCAGGTGACGCGGAGCTGCCTTCCTGGGCCACATATGGGCCTGAGACGTGGAGTGGATGTCCTGCTGGACAGCAGGGGCCAGCGTGGAGTGGTCCAGATGCCAGCCAGGGGGCCGAGTGTCTGGGGTGGTGGCCTGGGCCCAGAACAGTTGCCCCAGAGTAGGGTGTGACCTCCCGGCAGCGAGCCGCCACTCACATTGCTGCCAGGGGGCCAGGCACCCTCGCTGGAGAGGGGGGCTAATGTGGAGGGGCCTTGTCTGCAGGCCCCGCAGGAACATGCGGGTGCGTCCCTCAAATGTTTAAGCACTTACTGCATGTAGGCCCTGTCTGGGCTTGAAGACACAAAGGTGTCACACCCACAGGTGTCCTCAAAGGGCCCTCGGGGTGGGTGAGGGGAACCCCTGTGTGCCAAGCAGGCCGAGGGCACTGAGGGCGGCTTCCCTTGCAAGACACCCAGGAGGCTGGGGAGAGGGCGTTGAGTCCCAAGGGGACGTGGTCTTCCGCAAGAACAAAATCAGCAAACCCCATTTGGAGCACGCCTGTGGTTTATCCACACTCACACAGCCACACCCCCTGGGGACCCTCGGCTCCCTGGGGTGGGTTTTGCTGGTCCCAGCAGGCCACTGGGTGCTGGTGCCCAGGAGAAGGAGCGTGAGGACATTTCCTTGAATCATCTCAACATGTCTATGAGGAAAGTGTGACCATCCCATTCTACAGATGAGAAACTGAGGCTGTGGAAGGGAAGGGCCGGCTCACTGGGGCATGGCTCTTGCTGGACAGCCCTCCCCACTCTGCACCCCTTGGGGCTGCTGCCAGGGCTCTACCCAGCGTGATTTGCTCTTCCAATGCTGAACACCCCTATCTAAGACTTCCTCTTTGTACCAGGGCAGCTGAGAGCCTAGGGGAGGGGACAGGGTCCCCATGGGGGGCCAACACATCAGAAATACCCCTTGGGAAACTGGGGACAAAGCCCCAGTCTCCTCCCCAGTGAAGTCCGGAGGCACCTGTACCTGGCCTGCACCCTTGGGAGCTACCCCAGCCACCCCAGGTTGAGACCCAGCCCCTGACCCAAGCCGTGGGAGAAGGAACTGCAGCTGACCGTCGGTGGCCCTGTGCCCTTCTCTCTGGCCCCGCGCCCTTCTCCCTGGTCCTGCCTTGGCTGGCAGTGGGGTTGTCCACTCAGGGAGGGGAGGAGGGCACATCGAGGCCCCTGCCAGGCTTCCGGGGCTGTCAGCAGCGCCACAGCGTCACAGCCAGTCTTAGCTCTGCTGGGGCAGTGCGCTTCGCTTGCTTGGCCCTGCTGGTGACATTTGCGAGGGCAAAGCCACCAGGTGGAGGTGTTAACAGAGCCCTGCAAGACCAGAAGTGCCTGGCTTTGACTGGCAGCTCCACTCCTCCCCAGACTCCTGTGTGGAGCCTCAGTTTCTCATCTGTGAAACGGGACGGGACAGCACCCACCTCTTAGGGTCCCTTGGGGTACGGAGCCTTGCGTCACTGGCGCTGGCAGCCGGGGGCCCTGGCAGCTGCCTGGGGTCAGGGGTGCGCCCTGGTGTGGAAGTGCTTCTGCTTCCACAGCTGCCGCTGGCAGTGCTCCATGGCGTTGCACAGCTCGGCGGCCTCCCGGCTGCGGCACCAGAAGCTGGGGCCCAGCACGCACTGGTCGGTACCCAGCAGCGGGATCTTGGGGGCGTGGCAGGCCCCCATCTTCTTGCACACAGCCGAGGGGTCTATCATCTCCTTGACGCTCTGGATGAACACGGGCTCGTACTCGGTGACGAAGCGGTTGCACTCGATCCTGTAGGGCAGCGGCAGGATGCTGCACCCGCCCTTGAAGGCCATCAGGATGTCCCGCTTGGTGCTCTTGAGCTCCAGGTTCTCGGACGACAGGTGGAACAGGCGCTTGCAGCTGTGGCAGAAGCTGCCCTGATCCTCCTCGTCCAGCAGGGCTGGCTGCGGCAGGGGTGTGGTGGTCATCAGGCCCCCCCTGGAGAGGGACCGGGCGCGCCGGCGGCGGCTGCACAGCCGGATGGTCTCACATACTTTTTCCGGAGTGATTTTGGTGACCAGCTCCACCAAGGCAGGGCTGTAGGTGTCCACCATGACGACGCACTGCCGGACGATGGAAGGGGGCATGATGGAGCACACGCGCTCCAGGGAGTGGGTGATGAAGACTTCCGTGCCGTTGGACATCAGCCACTGGTCCATCTCCTTGATTATGCCCAGGCACACCTCACAGGTCAGGCCAGACGTCATCTGGACCTCGCTCGTCATCTTCGGCAGGTCGATGGTGGGGACGCCGTCCACAGCAGCCACTTGCTGCAGCTGCCACGCCGGCCCCCTGAGCTCCTCACAGAAGCCCCCCTTCCCGCACACCTCCTGTGGCGGGAGAAGCCTCAGAGTCTGCTCTGTGGGGCCGAAGAGCTGGTGGATGTAGTTCTTGCAGAGCAGAGCCAGGCTGGGCACCAGGGACTCACACTGCTCCTGGATGTTCCCCTCGGCCAGGGTCAGGTTGGGCCCCAGGGCACCCTGGAGCCGGGAGATCAGCCGGACGCAGTCTTGGCACACAGTATCCTCAGGTGCTGGCGGTGGGGCGTGGAAGGTGAGGGCTCCATTGGCCAGGAATGGAGCCACAGCCTCAAAGGCACCCTCCTGGGTGAGCGGCCCCCCCGGCGCGGCCAGAACCCTCTGCAGCGGCTCACACAGGGTGAGCGCTGAGCACACCTGCGCTGGGCGGTGGCCTGGGGCTCCACGGAGCATGCTCAGGACGGCTGGGCTGTGGGTGTCCGCCATCCGCCTGCATCTGGCTGAAGACTCCTGGCTGGGAAGCCACTCGCAGGTCTTCATCAGCGATATCAGGAACTCGGACTCTGTGGCATCCGGGTTCAGCCCGTTTCCAGCAGCGGCCACCACATCCTGGCATACTTCGCAGTGCAGGGACTTGGCGGTGGGCTTGCTCCAGACAGCCTCTTGGCAGTGCTCCACGGCCCCACACTTCACCGCGGCCTCCAGGTCCTGACACCACACCTCGGAGCCCCTGGCACACTCTGGGGGGCCCGAGGTTCCCAGGATGGGGCTGCCCGTGGCAGCCCCCAGGAGGCTGGGCAGGAGAAGCAGCGCACACAGCATGCTGCCCGGTGACGCGCTGCTCCGGGGCTCTGACTGCCCAGCTGCTGCTATAAACCCAGCTCTCCACCAGGCCCCAAGCAGGTGCGGCCGTGGGCCCGCCTCCCGGCCACTCCCAAAGCTCTGCTCACACCCCCGCCCGGTGCCCCACGCCAGTCTCTGCCCATAGCACCATCCTTTGCTCCCGTCCTCTGGATAAACTCTCACTCTTTCCAAAGCCCCGCTTCCATCTGGCAGAAGCTCAGCTCCCAGGCCCCTGCCCAGAAAGCCCTCCTGGGCCTGGGCTGGGCCGTCCCCAGGGGCAGAGCCTGGAAGGCCTTCCCGCCACCCACTGTTCTGCCCTGACTTGCTTGCAGGGCCGGTCTCTCCCGGAATGGGACTCTGGGGGAGTTGCTGCCCCAGTTCTAGGAGGCACAGGAAGTGTGTGCCGAGGATGGAGGAACGGGCTGGCTGCCTCTGCCTGGCTTCGCACGCAGCCTGCTGGGCTCTGGTCCCCACCATGGGATGCCTTGGCTTCCCTGCCCGGAATGTTGCTGGGCCTCGAGTCTGTGTCTGTGGCCCGAGGGCCCTCTTGGCTCCTAGCACCTGTGTGAAAGCTGCTGGCACTCGGATTTGTGGGCCAAGCTTTCTTGGTTCTGTTCCTTGGTCACGGGCATTGGATGTTTGCTGCCAGCACACACGCACCGATCACCGCTGCCTTCTTGGGTTAATGATATCTTTTTTTCCTTAGTTTTTGAAGCAGCTATGAGGCAAGAGCCTGGGCGCTGGCCACATAGACACAGGTGTCTAGGGCCAGGTGCTGTGTGTTCTGCAGGGAATTCTGGACCAGGCTTACGCTGACCTGGTTGATGGCCTTGGTCTCACAGCTCCTGTGGGCCCTCCTGGAAGCAGCAGGACAGGGGCCCAGTGGCGGGACCTGCCAGGACCTGCTGGGTGCCAGGCTGGGCGTGAGCCCCACATACGGGTGTCTGCAGCTCAGCCATGAGCTTGGGATTCTTGGAGAGGCGGGTTCTCAGCTATGAGGCCAGGCATCCCTGCTATGGGGCCAGGCGCCCCTGCTATGGGGCCAGCCTTCCCTGTGCAGGAATGCTGACAGACGCCTCCTCTTGGTCCCCTTCCAGAGGCAGGGCTGCCCAGAGAATGTGGGATTAGGTTTGCTGAGCTCTCTCTGACATCTGAGAACTCTGGTTCCTTGGGACAGGCAGGGGACAGGCCTGGGGAAGAGGTGACCGGGGTTCTCGCGCTGCGGAGCTGGCCGTGCGCCGTAGGGTGAGTTCCTGCGCAAGGCGGGCCCGGAGGCCTGTTGCTTACCTAGGTCTGGCCCAGCAGGCGCAGCCAGTCCCCGCCCACGTTCTGGCTCACGGCCTTCGTGCAGGCCCCAGCCCGGTGTTGACGGAGTGCCCACGCCAGCCCACGGGGTAAGGGTGCAAGAGTGACACAAGCAGGTGCCCTGCCCTGTGGCATGCACAGGCTGCGTCCCGGCAGGCCCCGGACCTCCTGCTGGTCCCTCACAACCCAGCCCTCGACACCTCCTGCGAGGCCTTCTGGTGGGGACCGGATGTTCTCTCCTTCTCATCCCTGGCCTCGTGCAGTGGCCCCGGAATCAAGTGCTCCCTGGCTGGACAGCCTGTTGTAAGGCTCGGCCCTGCCGTGGTGGGAGCTGCTACTGTCATTTGGGAGGAATTCCACTGCTTGTCAACTTAGCGTCTGTATTGACGTGCTGTTGATGCACGTGGGATAGTTTCAGCTTGGGGCCGGCATGCGGGCCACTGTCTGGACTCATCTGTGTCCTCCTTGCTCTCCTGGGCTGCTACCCAGGAGCAGAACGGGGTGGATCGTGCTCCTGGGCCCTCCCGAGCGGCCGGACCAGTTGCATTCCCTTCCCAGGGCCTCAGGCATCCTGCTGCCCACGTCTGTTTTGCTTTGGGGCCGGCTGTTTTCTCAGTGCCAACAACCCATTCGCCACGCTAGCCTCCCTTCTGGGCCTCCTCTGCTTCAGTGCAGTCCTGCCACCGGCTGCCAGGGCGGGCACAGACCCCGCAGGAGAGGGCACAGACACAAAGGGCCCAGTCCAGACCAGTCCCAAGTCCAGGTTTTTGCCTGTGCTTTTGATGGGGCAGCTGTAGGCCGGGGTTCCCATGCCCTCTCTTTGGGTTGATCATTTGCTAGAGGGCCCTCAGAACTCAGGAAGGCCTTTTACTCTTGCCCTCTCGTTCATCGTAGAGGACAGCTCAGGAGCAACCCGTGGAAGGGATTCAGAGGGTGAGGTATGCGATGAGGGCATGGGGCTTCCCACAACTTGCCCAGGAATCTTTGGGGCTTCCCGCATCCTGCCCAAGAATCTTTATAGGTTCTTAATCTCCCACACACCGCTTCCTGGAGGCCAGTGTGGGAGGCAGAGCTCTAGTCCTGTCTTTCTGGTGACCGCCCAGCCCACCCAGTCTCGTCATTGGTGTAAGCTCAGGTGTGGCTCCTTATGAGGACGGGTGACATGCCTGTCACTCAGGAAATTCTCAGGGTTCTAGGAGCTCTGTGCCGGGAACACAGAGCAAAACACAGGACAAAACCAAACATATTCCTTATTAAACTATAAGAGGGTTATGTTTTACTTTTACATACAGTAACTTTTAACTCAGAAGACAGTTGAAAAGCAGTCCAAGGATTCCCTGTATCCCCTTTGCAAGACATGTTCATCCCATTTGCTTCATTGTTGTCCTGTGCACTCCTTCTGTTCCTCTCATCCATCAAGCAACTATTTATCCATCCATCCACTCTCCATCCATTCATCATCCATTTATCCATCTTTCATCCATCAAGCCATCCATCTGTCCATTCATTCATCCATCCTCCGTCCATTTATCATCCACCCTCCATCCACCCATTTATCCATCTATCCATCCATCTGTCCATCCATCCATCATCCATTCACCCATCCACCCTTCATCTCTCTATCCTTCATCCATCCTCCACCCATCCATTCATCCATCCATCTGTTCATCCATTCATCCATCCTCCATCCTCCATCCATCCATCCTTCATCCATTTATTCATCCATCTACTCATCCATCCATCCATCATCCACCCACTCATTCATCTACCTAGCTGTGCATCCATCCTCCATCCATCCATCCATCCATCCATCATCCGTTCTTCCATCCATCCTTCATCCATCTGTCCATCATCCATCCATCCACCCATCCATCTATCCATCCATTTAGCCATCATCTCTTCTTCCATCCATCCATCACCCACCCATCACCCATCCATCAGTCACTCATTTTATCTATCTATGTATCTATGTATCTATCATCCGTCTATCTTTACACATACATATTTGCATACAGTTTTTCATAACCAGTGTGAGTGGGCAGAGACATTTGTCCCTTTGTACCACTTCTTCATTGTCTTCCCTGTGGACCAGAACATTCTTCCTAGTAATCACAGTGTGTTTATCAATCCCAAGAACTGTAGTGTTGACATGACACTGTCACCTACCCCGCTCCACGTCCAGGCCTTCCCAGGTGCCAGCGCTGCCCTGTGCTGCTGCAGTATCTTCCGGGCCCGGCTCTAAGCTGGTCGTGTAAAGGGCTCAGGTTGCCTCAGTCTGTGTGTGTTGTCACCCTGTAGACTGCACCTTGGCTTGGCTCAGCACCGCTGCTTCCCCGCTTGCGCCTGGCTGTGTGCGGCTGCGGGAATCTGGGAGCTCCCGGTCCTTCTCGATGCATCCTGCTGAGTGGACTCAATGCTGCTTTGGCCCAGCGTGGGTCACCTGTGGCCACTTGTTGAAGACCTGCCCATTTCTCTTTTCCAAAGTTACTGTCAGGGCCAAGGATACAGCTCAGCAGCACAAGCGCCTGCCTGGCAAGCACAAGGTCCTGAGTTTGATTCCTGGTACCAAAATAAAATAAAATAAAATAAAATAAAATAAAATAAAATAAACTTACTGTCTCCCTTGTAATTAGTCAGAAATATTTATGAAGTTATTTTGAGACTGTGAGTGTCCCCTTCACTATTTTCTAACCCCGTCTTCCTTCTGCCTATGAATTTTCATTTTCCTATAAAAAGACCTTTCTCCTTCTTCCCCCTCCTCTTCCCATCCTTTCTCTTTCTCTCTTTTTTTTTTTTCGGTACGGGGAATTGAACTCATGACCTTGCACTTGCCAGGCAGGCACTGTGCCACAGAGCTAAATCCCCGGCTCTCTTTTTTTCTTAAAAGACTCATGCATTTTTATTTTTTATTCTAAAAACATATTTATCATTACATTGTATTCAGTAGGTTATAATCCACTGCCATTGTTAACTGCTTTCGATGGCCTGACCGTCCGGGCTTTGCTCTGTGGGAGCCTGGTCAGGCCTGATGCTCTTGTCCCCGACAGTCCCTGAGTCCTGCCGAACTTTCCAGTACTTCTAGCACAGTCCAGCCCTGGGCCAGGCTCATCCGTGCTTTCCTGAGCTAGTCCTGTGTCTACCGTGTTCTCTAAGAAGCCTGGTTTTAGGGACCCGAATCTGGATGGACCCAAAACAATGCGTGCAGCTCTGTTACCATCAGCTCCAGACCCTCACTGGGAGGAGCCATGAAACCAGCACTTCATACTGATAAAAGGTAAAAGAAGGAGGGAGAAGGATGTGTACATATAGAAATATAAAAGCATGTGTTCGGGGCTGGGGATTTAGCTCAGCGGCAAAGCGCCTGCCTGGCAAGCGCAAGGTCGTGAGTTCGGTTCCCGGTACTGGAAGAAAAATGAAAAACAAAACAAAATAAAAAAAAGCATGTGTTCATAGATAAGACAAAAGCATACACATATATGCATACATATACATATAACATATTTATCTACTCATCCATCCACCCACCCATGGATCTGTTTACCCTCCTACCCCCAGCCCTCAACCTACTACACATTCGTCCACCTACCCATCTACCTACCCATTCGCCCATCCATCCCTCCATCCATCTGTCCATCCATGTACCCATCTGTCCATCGAGCCATCCACCCATCCACTTACTTTTACCCATCCATCCATCTATCCACTCACCCATCCAGCTGTCCAGCCACCCATCTACCCATCCACACATCCATCCTCCTACCCACCCACATACCTATCCATCTCATAGCCCCCCACCTATCCACCCATCTGTCTACCCACCTTCTCACTCACTCATCCATTCATCCTTCCACCCACCCATCCTTCACAAGACCACGAGCCTATTCTGCCATGTCCTGTACCACAGAGCACATTCCAACCTCTCGGTATTCTCTGTCCCACACCCAACAGTA